TAAAATTTTAAAAATAATTGTAATTCTTGTTTAACGTACACATAGAAACAGTCACATGCGCATTCTAACTAAACAGCAGTTCTATTTCATATACGCATACGCATGCATCCTTCACGCAGTGACGTACCGTAACGCCTCTGCGCTCTTGTGCGGGACCCCAGACCCCTAGGGGTCCATAAGGCCTCCTACCCAAAGGGTCCTCGATCTAGCACCTTGAACCAAAAAGGCTTTGTTGATACATAATAGCATACTAATATTAATTCATTTTCTTGTTTGTATACTTGGTTAGCATATACATGGGTTTGTAATCGTTTGTAATTTTATTATTTATTATTTAATGCGTTTCTTTGGTATTATTGTACATTTATTTTATAGTTTATACATGACTAACATATGAAATTATATATTGAATGTTATTTTTGAAAAATCTGACTCAAAATTGCGTTGAAAGGAACTAAACTGGGTACTTATATCCTTTTTCTTTTCATGGCCTTGAAAATATATTTTTCTGCATACTAAGTATAAGAATTTTAAATATATGACAGTACTTGTTTGTTATTTATTGTCACTTTAGCTTATTTGCGAGTATTAAATGAATTAAAACATTTTCTGGACTTAAAAAAAGGAAGATTATCAAAATTATGTTTTTCCCTAAACTAGGATTTTTGGTAATAAATACTTTCCAGGTAATTTTTAGAGACAGCTAATTTTTATGCAAAGAATATAAAAATTAAAAAAAAATATATATTACTTTGTGATTTAGTAATATAACATTAGCTAATTTACCAGTATTGAGTGAATTAAATATTTTATAGCCTTGAAATCAAGCAAAATCATGAAATTTATGTGTTCAGCCCTAAAAGCAGGGTTTTGGTAATACATATTTTTCTGGTAGTATTTGGAGAAAATGTAGAAAAACCATTTCTGTTTTTGTGGGGAAAATATTTTTGTGGCGAACAAAAACATGAGCCTTCCGAAAAACTGGTACCAAAAGTAAAGTCTCTTTGACTAATAGTAACCGAAATACAGAGTGTTTGTATTTTTAACCCAAAAATGGATGCTTTTGCAACTTGGTCAAAATACCTCAAATCAATTGGATCCCAGCTTCTACCCAAAAAATGCCGCTTAATTCGTTAGCGGACGATTTTTGAGAAATGGAACCTGTCTACAATACCATAGTAACGTCATTGATATCGGTTCATTAATAGAAAACTAACTTAACCCCAAATGTGTTATTAAGAGTATAATATGCCTAAAATGATTTTTGAATGACCAAAGAACATACAATGCATCCACATTTTTTCAAGTCAGTATCCAAATTTTATTAGTTCATACTCATTGATGCATGTAAATGCCAACTGCCATCAATATTATATTAATGTTTGTTCCACTTTGTACGTAAATCTGTGTTTTGTTAAGAAATGTCGATGACATTTCTGACCTCTAGTAGGTATTGTTCACATTTTAAAGGATTAAAGACAACCATTATGCTGTACGATATGTTGATACCAACATTATACAAATGTATTCACTAACACACAAGTTATTAGCACAAATGTTACCGCCCCCAGCACCCCTAAATTTCTGTTTACTATAAATTACTATGGCCAACCAAATAATATATAATATATCCCTGTGTTTTTCATCTTAACGCTACCTTTCCATATTTCTGTGTAAAATAATAATATGTGCTTACAAGTACAAGCTTTAAAATCAAATTTTGTGGCGGTTCATGGTGAAATTTGCATTTTGTTAAAATATCAATAACCTTTTGACCTGTAATGACGCCAAAAATAGTGGGATTTTTTCAAAAGAACAAAAACAAATTGTTTACATTTAAGAAAATTACAACAATTACCGGGTATGTCTTTTGCCCTAAAAACAGGGTTTTTGGTAAAAAAATATTTTCCTAGTATATTTTGGAGAAACATACCCATTACAGCTAATAGATGTAATCTGAGTAATATGAGACAACGTTCAACTGTTCTGCACATACTAACAGACCTACGGATTTTTACTGATTTTTGTAAAATGTTATCAAAATGGCCTTTTTAAAGTAAAGGTGAATATATTTTTCTGCATATAAGTATAAGAATTTTGAATATATGTATTTGTTTGTGATTTATTGTCACTTTAGCTTATTTGCCAGTATCAAATGAATTAAAACATTTTATGGACTCAAAAATAAGAACATTATGAAAATTATGTTTTCCCCTAAATCAGGGTTTTGGGTAATAAATACTTTGCAGGTAATTTTTGGGGACATTTTTCGATTACAGCTAATAGAAATATACCAAGTAATATGAAACCAAATTCAACTCTCCTGCACACATACTAACAGAGTTACGGAGTTTTCCAGATTTTGTACAAAAACAAAGTGATTATATTCCATGCACTTTTGTTCAATCGAATCTGACATAGTGACCTCCATTGTCGTCAAAACGGAACGCTTTACGCTGCACCAATCTCAAGCATGCAATAGCACACATTATTCAACTTCATTTTGATGTTTGACATCCAACTTCACAGATGACTTGAAGATAGCATTTGTCTAATCAATAAACAAACACAGTTAATCACGTTACTTGAGAAATTTTAATTTCAAAACTGTGAGTAGGCCTACATACAGGGGTGGCGCCAGCGGTGGGGGGAGGAGCTGGCACACTTTATACAAGCGGTTTAGTACAACCATGGAGGAATTAGTTTACAACGAAACTAACTTCTCCATGGTACAACTAGGTATAGGATGGACTTAGGGCCTACCATCTAAGTTTAACGGTGTAGCTTTTTTCAATTTTCTTTTACATCCTAAATATATATAGTTTTCTTCATCTCTCTATGCAATATACTCTTAGTTTTTATCTCCATACCAAACATATATAAAACTGATTTATATTAATATTTATGTATCTATTTTAGTATCTTGTACATATATATAATAAACATTCCCAAAGTGCCAACTTCGTTCATAATTGTCTTTTAATTTTCAAACAACACAAAAATTATACATTCTGAAGTGAATTAACTTAGTGGTGCGAATAAATTACATACCCTTTTTTCCAAAATGTTTCTGCAATTTTACATTGTTCAAACAGATGCAGTTACATTACATATTTCACATGTCTTTTTGCTTAATTTTTAAAGGAACACGTTTCGAATTTCAAGTGTTCTGAGTAAAATTAAGCTCAGTTAGTTTTTTTAGTGGATTTTTGAGACCTTAGTAACATTATCCCACATTCTATCTGTCAATCAAGGTATTCATCTCTCATTTGATTTCAGAACATGGCCAACAAAATCTGCAGTGATCGACAAGTATATTATTGGCGGTTTTTGCTTTTTTCTTATTTAATTACTACCTCGTTATTTTTCCACATTTAATATAATTATGGAAGCCATTCCTTATGAGACGGTTTTGTGTATACAGTGTTCAACTATGTTGTTCATTACTGATGAGTTGTACAAGATGATATCTTTGATTTTGTTTATACCAACTTCGTTCCAGTTCTTGGAAAAAATTTAGTAATAAAAATAATGTCTTTGATGGGATTGGAACATGCGAACTCTCGCTGTCAAAGCGAGCGTCATAATCATTAGACCACAGAGGCTTCATGGTGGAACAGATCCAAATTACCGCCAGATACACTCTATTACACAATAAGTAATGGCTAGAAACAAATAGATATACTGTAATATAAACCAAGATAGAAAGGTACGGTATTAAGTCAGAGGAATTTTATTACACCATTTCTTTGTCCATTTATTTATAGGACAACATCCGTTGAGAGCTATTTATCTTGATTTATATTATATGCAACTATTTGTTTCAAGCCGTACATATTGTGTAATAGAGTATATCTGGCGGTTATTTGAATGTGTTGAAACATTGTCTGATGGTTATGACGCTCGCCTTGACAACGACAGTTCGCAGGGTCGAATCCCGTCTGAGGCATTTTATTACACAAGTTACTCTCAATGTTATCATATTATAAATATTTTTAAGTGTAAGGTAGTATCACATAAAAAATGGAAATAGAAACTTCATCTCATAGGCATAATCGTATCAGGCATAGCCTTTCAACAAAAAATGTTTGTATGTGCTTGAAAAAGTTATGAAGGTCAATTGATTACTTACTCTCAATGTTATCATATTATAAATATTTTTAAGTGTAAGGTATGAAAGCAAGTAATATCACATGCAACAGTTCCCCGTAAAAACGTTTGTTGTCTCTAAAGTAAATTAATTACCATTTGTAAATCTGTTAATGTCACATTTTATACAAATATGCCTAAAACGTGGTCACTGACAGCAATTAAACAAAAACAATCACACTATCTACAATTATATGATTTTTTTTACAAAATTTGCAATCTGTTTATGTAACATCATCTTCAATTTAAGAACTGGAGTACTTATACTCTACGCTCTTCTCTTCATTAGAATCTAATATCAAGTGACAACCTTTTTCATCATAGCGGGACACGCATTTTTTTTTTATCATAGGTAAGTTGAGCAAACAATCATGAATTATTCATTAGAGTGTCTGAAGGCATTACTAGCGCATGCGCAATCTTGCTTCGCTGAACGTATTGTATTTTGCTGCAGTCTTCCGACCGCAACCAAAACAAAGATAAAAGCAAGCTTTACTTGTGATAACTGCTTACATAAGTGTCTTCCTTTATCGATATAACAGACACCGCAGAAACGAAAAACACTTACACTGCATTGCATGATATTATGACGAAAAGTAAATTTTAGAAATACTGTACCTTGTAAAATAATAGGTCAGCACTCTCGACTCATAAAATCAACTAAAATGCTGACCCTACAACAAATTACTGTATGCAATTGTATTTTCAACTAAAAAGGATTATCTAAAAGCCTCATAGGCTATGGAGTTGCACTGGAATAAAAATACATCAGTATCAATTCAAACTTAATAACGAATACAGTATATATTTCGTAACATCACACAGTATATATAACAATATGTGAAAATGTGGTGCCAGGAAGGCCAGACTCAAGACGATGGGAGCACCCAGAAAAGTTACAGAAACTCTCCATGTCTTTGTTCTGTAGTAAGTTACTTAGTCGTTTTTTTTTGTTTTTTTTTAAATTTATTTATTTATTTTTTTTTTTTTTTTGCAATTTAAATTATACATTATTAGGTCTGTAGGCCTCCCTGTGTAGCCATGTGTAGCCGCCCGTGTCGTGTTCCATGCCTGACGATCCTTTATTTTTGTATATGAATAATGACAGACCCCAAAGTTCAGAGTTAAAAAATTCACCCAAAAGTCACAGATGTCCAGCTTATGCCTACCATAAGGATTCTCTAGAGACTCTATGAGGAATTATTTTTACGATTTTGCTTATTAGCTTTTTTCCAAAAGTTAATGTAATGACTAATAATATTTTTTTTTCAAAAATAATACATACAGTTATCATCTAAGTATATTAGTAAGTTTAGATTGCTTCGGCCTAGGGAGAGAGAGCAGGCCAAGCTAGATGTAGTATATAATATATGGCCTAGGCCCAATTTATTTGTCCTGTTTACTGTATTTTAATGTAAGGTTGCTTTATAATTTATTACAGCATAAACCACGGAGGTATTACCACCCCACACACAGTGAATCCGACCGACAATCCAACCTTCGCTCACCGCGACGTGACTCAAAAGCTACAGCGAGCAAAGCCCAGCGAAACGAGATTGCGCATGCGCTAGTAAAGCCTCCAGCCACTCTAAATGAATAATTCATTGCAATTTGGCTCAACTTATTACGATAAAAAAAAACTGGACTCTCCAGAGCCGCAGATAGTTCCTTTTCAAAATGTTTGTTGTCTTTAAAGTAAATTACTATTATGTAAATCTGTTAATGTCACATTTTATACAAATATGCACAAAGAACGGTCACTTTAAACAAAAACAATCACACTATTACTTAATTATATTATATACTTTATATGTTTGCGATTTGTTTGTGTGACATCATCTTTGATTTAAGAACTAGCTAGAGTACCTATACTGCATGCTCTTCTCATCATTAGAATCCGACATCACGAAGTGGCAACCTTTGTCGTCATAACGGAACGTTCTGCACTGCGGCGCCCTCAAGCATGCAGTAGCACATCTTGTGCAACTTCCCTTTAAAGTTCGACAGAGTCTATCCAATTTCGCAGATGACTTGTACATAGCAGTGTGAATGTCTAAGAAACAAACACAATAATTCACGTTAGAAATGAAATTCTAATATTTTTATTTCTATAGATTTTTCTTTTACCCATTGTCAAAGAAAGAAAACAACATAAAACAAGAGGAAGGGAGCTTAGAATTGCGAAAAAGATGAGATTTAAGTACGGATTTAAAAATGGCTAACGATGAAGATGACCGTATGCAATTTAATAATTCGTTCCACAACTTTGGTGTAGCAACAAAGAAGGATCTATCACCATTGGCTTTTAACCGACCAGAAGGACAATGAAAAATGGTAGAACTGGATGATGTGGACTACATGTAGTTGTGCAATTTGTAAAGATCATCAATGTACTGTGGAGATGAACAATAAAGAGACTAATACATGTATAGAGGTGTACGTTGCCTTGACGACTGACGTAGCATTTGCATTCAGAAAGCGTCTAACTTTATAGACTAGATGTAACGAAAATGATAGGTATTGATAGTCAACGATCTCTCCAACATTACGAACTTCTGATGATGGAGTCAGAAAAGGGCAGCCAAGAACACCACACTTAAAGGCAACCAATTTAACACACGCCTAGAGGACATGTATGCTCGAAACTAAAGAATGTATACCTAAAACGCCTATCTCTGAAAGTCGGTCATTAAAGATAGAATGATTAATAGTACCAAAAGTAGCTGAAAGATCTTGAACATTATTATTTGTGTGTGATAACTGGTAGCAATTTGTATATTCATTCATTTATTCGGACAAAATCATCATACAAATCACGGAAACTTTATAAAATTGATAAAAAATTACAAACAGATGTCGCAAAAAATTGCATGAAATTGAGAACAATTAGAACAAGTGTGCTTTGAATAAAAGTGTAAAAAACATTGTAATAAAAAGCTTTGAAATTAACTATAGTGGTTTTGCAGGTTTTAAAAATTGTAGAAACATCAAAAAATGACTTTAAAGTAAAAAATTACATAAAATCAACAATGGAAAAGCCGTGTTGTTAAACATTGGAAAAATGGTTTAAAAAAAAAACAACAACAACAACAATAAACAGTCAGAAATAAAACCGGGAAAATTAATTTGGAATTATCAAAGGATTAAATTTAGTTTCATTTTCGTCCTCAGTAAAAATAGTTCTCACTGAAATAAATATGTCATCATACTTTCAGTTCACTCTCTAATTCCGAGCTTTTTCTATTTTGAGACATTTTCCACCGATATAGTTTAAGACTATATATAAGTTAAAGTATCTCATTCGACACCCAGCGGGCTGAAAATAATTCACAGAAGAGGGCGTATCTTGGATCTGTGACTAGTTTTGGTCACGTGTGATGTTTAGAGCCATATCAAAATCGTGGCGTCAAGCATGTTAAAAGAATGGAAGGAACTCAAGTTCATTCTGCCGGACGCTTGATCACCACAGTGCCTTTGGTGAAGTGGTTGACGTTCGCCATGTATGCCAAAGGTCCCGGGCTGGGGTTTGAGGTTTTGGGAGATTCATGTGGAACATTTTTAGAACCCATTTTAATTTCTCGAAGATGATTGTTAGGTGTACATTTTGGCATTTTAGAGCCAGTTATTATCTTCGATTTTTTTTAAATTCAATATTCTTGATATTTATAAATTTCATGAATTATATCTTTTTTTTAAAATTATTTCTGACATTTATCACAACAGATAACCTCATTCTATAGAATCTGCTTCCCGGACTATGGGTCGCGACCCAAATACGGGTCGCCAAACCTTTGCGTTGGGTTAACGAGCAAATTTGCAACAAACAGGACGAATATGCCACGAAAATGAGATTGGCCATAAGGTAGAACACCACACTTAAAGGCAACCAATTTAACACACGCCTAGAGGACATGTATGCTCGAAACTAAAGAATGTATACCTAAAACGCCTATCTCTGAAAGTCGGTCATTAAAGATAGAATGGTTAATAGTACCAAAAGTAGCTGAAAGATCTTGAACATTATTATTTGTGTGTGATAACTGGTAGCAATTTGTATATTCATTCATTTATTCAGACAAAATCATCATACAAATCACGGAAACTTTATAAAATTGATAAAAAATTACAAACAGATGTCGCAAAAAATTGCATGAAATTGAGAACAATTAGAACAAGTGTGCTTTGAATAAAAGTGTAAAAAACATTGTAATAAAAAGCTTTGAAATTAACTATAGTGGTTTTGCAGGTTTTAAAAATTGTAGAAACATCAAAAAATGACTTTAAAGTAAAAAATTACATAAAATCAACAATGGAAAAGCCGTGTTGTTAAACATTGGAAAAATGGTTTTTAAAAAAACAACAACAACAACAATAAACAGTCAGAAATAAAACCGGGAAAATTAATTTTGAATTATCAAAGGATTAAATTTAGTTTCATTTTCGTCCTCAGTAAAAATAGCTCTCACTGAAATAAATATGTCATCATACTTTCAGTTCACTCTCTAATTCCGAGCTTTTTCTATTTTGAGACATTTTCCACCGATATAGTTTAAGACTATATATAAGTTAAAGTATCTCATTCGACACCCAGCGGGCTGAAAATAATTCACAGAAGAGGGCGTATCTTGGATCTGTGACTAGTTTTGGTCACGTGTGATGTTTAGAGCCATATCAAAATCGTGGCGTCAAGCATGTTAAAAGAATGGAAGGAACTCAAGTTCATTCTGCCGGACGCTTGATCACCACAGTGCCTTTGGTGAAGTGGTTGACGTTCGCCATGTATGCCAAAGGTCCTGCTTCGTTTTAATTTATAGTATTCATTGCATTATTTCACTTGCTGTTTCTTGGTTTTTCCCATGCCTTTGAATTATATATTGTAGCAATAAAGTGTAATTTAAATTAACTCAGAAATATTGTTGACTTACGTGTGGTATAGACAGAGTTTTTCCAAGTACCACCACATATTTCTTGTGGATTGCCGACACAAGCCACATTACATTCAACTTCGAGTTGTTGACCCAACCTAGAATAAGTCTCATCACCACAAAAACATTCATTTCCATTCTGCAAACCGGTGTACTGATAGCGTAGTTCGTAACAACGGTGTAAACAAAAACTTACTGTCATACCGTTAAACGCGTACCTATTCCACATCATTCTATTGCTGGAATCTTTGAAACAGCCTTTGTAGACACCACCACCTACCAGGTACAATTTTAAAGAAAATAATTTTAAATTATCGAATTTATTTTCGTCCTGACTAAGTACGTCTTTCTTACAATAGCTCTCAATTTTAATAATAATAATAATTTAATAAATTATAATTCTTGTTCTACTTTTAAAAAAATTTTAATTTAAAATTTCATATTTAAGTAATCATCCGTTTTTGTTTTATATTTTTATATCTATTTTTATATAATGTACCTGACTAATTTGAATTTCCTGGTTTTATTTATGAATGTATTTAATTGTTTTGACAACTTTTGTAATATCCAATCTATTATAGTGTGATTGCAATAAAGTTGAACTTGAATTTGAAAAAAAAAATTAGTTGAATAAATATGTCATAAAACTATCAGTTCACCTTCTAATTGCGAGACCCCTCTACTTCGAAACCAGTATTTCCACCAATAAGTTTAACACTAATCCTACCCGAGAGCCCTCTAATTCCAGATCGAGTTTTACGTGACAAAATGACCTCAGAAAGACCACGAAATAAGTAAACTAAACTAGATACAATATTCCAATAGAAGAAGCCCGATACCGCGCATTCTAGCTGATTTTAGTGCTCTTTGATTATTATTTGAGGGGATTGTCAAATGCTCAAGGCTTCTTCAATTTTAGGATCATTGGATGGGATTCTTTTCAAGAATATTTTTGCAAATTATAGAAGAGTAAATAATTTTTAATTGCTACTATAAAACCATATAAGGCTACTTAACCATAAAATTGGGAATTCTGTTTATCATTTAAAAACTCTCAGAACATTAAAGAAAAATTGTTTTATGATTAAAATAATCCGACGACGCACAAAATAAGGTGATATAAATTGAGTTCAGACAAGATATTTATTTCATAATGTCAAAGAAAAAAAGTTACATTTACATTGAAAAGATACATAGAATCTTTATGAGACCTTTAGGTATCAGTCACATTTTATGATGCTTCATTCATTAGATTTTGTTTAATCCTGCTAACAAGCAGAGAGAGTGAGACAGACAGACAGCGATGAATCCATATCCTCTTTTGCGGAGGTAGGTAATACGGCAATCAATGTCGTAAATCCTATGCCCTCTCGTGTGGCTATGCCCTCTCGTGTGGCGGTCCGCAGGGCCCCCCGCCCCATACCCATAGGGTCCTCGATCTAGCACCTTGACTCAAAAGGGCTTTGGTGATACATCGACCAGTGACGGATTAACGGGGGCCTCAGCCACCCTCTTATGTTTAAATTTGTCAGTATTTTTTTTAAATAAAGAAAATTATAAGCCTATTCAAATACTATGAGTGCTAATTCCGGCAATCTAGCGGTCCAACATTCATAAAAGTTCTTACCTCAGCCCTAACATAGTATAAACTCCTCCAAAACCCTGCATCCGCCACTAATATATTAATAAGTAAAATCACACAATGGAACCACAAAAGGGCCAGTCTCATTAAGACACAGTCCACCACTCCCGCCCTTCCCCAGCGTTGCGCCACTGAGGTAGGCACCTACTAATATAAATTAGAGTAAAGATTATTAAAAAATAAATAAACTCAAACTTACGGTCTGCCAAACTTTGTTTTCCAAACAACAGGCCTACAATGTAAAGGCAACTTATGGCATCTGAAGAAGAGAGGTGGAAAACAATTCATAATAAAACCAATAACAACAAATCGTATGTCTACACCTAATGTGCAAATCAATTTATAACATGATGTGACATAAGGTACATGAGAAAATAACAATGAACAAGACATTAATTACAATATGCGAAGAAAAATGTGAATCAACATCAATAATTCCTTATTGATTTGAAGCGAATGATGCCGATGATGATTTTGATTATGAAAAATCATACTACACGACAAAAAAACAATAAAAAAGGCAATAGGCATAATAGGGATGATGATGATAATAATTATTGTAATGATAATAATAAAATAAATACTGTATAACTGTGATGGTCTGCAGGCCCGTATCCAGTGTGTTTTATGGTTCGGGAGAACCCCCTTTTCTTGCAAACCCACCTTTTTTTTCTGGCGACCCCCCCCCCCCACCACAAATTTCTTGAACAAAACAAGTCCTCCAACCGAAATAATGCACTGCAGACTCACCAAGTCACCCAGATCAACGTTTTCAAACATATCTGCTTTTATAGCATTTAGACCGGGATTTAGACAAACCAGTTAAAATCAAAACTTTCTTTATTAGAACATACATCATAAGAATCATACTTTACCCTTACATTAAATAGCTGAAACCTCCCGGGGTTTACACCTCATGGACCCATGTAATAGGAACAACCCCGACCCAATACCCCTCCAACCCCCACCCCCTCGGGCTAAGGCCAATTTCTCCCTCTTTTTACTATTAAAATGTTGTGTTGGCAGGTATGTTTTCGTCTTATCTCTTCAGATATTGTAAGTGTGAGGCCAAGTTTACGTTGACAGCAAAATAGTAGGCCTACAGCAAGTCACATCATCCCAAGATTTAGAAGAAAGGGAAACACGTTTTTCAGAATTTATTCAATCCATTTTGACTTCTTAATGATATTTTTAAGCAACTATAATGTTTACTGGGGTGGATGTAGGGGGACGGGAGTGCAGAGGTGCGATCGCACCCCCCCCCCCACTTTTTTCTATGAAGAAAAGTAATTGCTGCGAAGCAGCAAATTCATATTCTTGACAGCAATTTGACCTCTGAAAGGTCATTGTTTGTCAAAAAATAAATGCCTAAGACGACTGAAAAGCGGAGTTTCCTTCTTTCGTTCTGCCGGGTAAAATCAATTACTTTAGGCGACGTTTGTAGACTAACCTACTCGTACCAACGTCCTCATGTCGCGCTAGCCTTCCTACTCTAGGCCTAGACTAGCTAGGATGGTATAGGCCTAGTCTTGAAGGGACGAAGGTCCCAATGAAAAACAACGTCGCTCTTTGATAGTTAATATTGTCTATTTAACATCACAATAATTCATTATTAGACCTATAGTTGTTTTTTGAATTGTACTCCGCAAATCTCGGCCGATACCTCGCACAACTCGCTAACGTCTCTATCTATTGTCGTGACGTCATGGCTCGCTGGCTCACACTTGTGATATGTCTCGCACTTGTGATCAAATAACACGCTGGCTCGCACTTTGGCAACACTCTTTGGCAGTCAACTCGCCCCTAGAAAACCCGCCCTTTGAAACTTGCCCCATAAAAAAATGTACACTTCCTAGACCATGCAGTCTTCAAAATAAAAATTGTAACCTTTGGTAATCAACTACATTTTCCATATACATAGAAATTTTTGAAATTTTATTTAAAAAAAACCTAAACCATAATTCACCACACTATAGACACTTTTTGACAAAAATGAAAAATTACGACTTTGTTACCCAATGAGAAGTGTTCTAATATAGACAATGGGTCGTGTCTCATATTATTTGTTATATTTTTATTATTCATTATTTTCACTTGACTCGCATAAATAATTTTGTTCGAAGAACATTTATATGCAGTTGTACTTCGCAGCACTTCACTTGCAATTTGCAATTTCTAGTTGTATTATATTGTTGATATGAATTATGGTAAAATTGTTAAGGTATGAAAGTGCAATTTCCTGGCACCCAGAGCTCGATATTTTCAAAATTTTCGCGCCTCAGCCCCAACCATGTTGGGGCTGACGTGAAGTGGACTCTTTACTGACCCATGGGCGCAGATTACTGGGGAAGTGAGACACGTTGCCCCCCCCCCCCACATTATATCTTGAAGGAGTCTTTACGGGGAAAGGTTTGGTCCCCGTTACTTTTCGGGAATCAAGATGATATGCCTAAAAATCTCTTTAGTTGCCGAAAATCGCCGATAAAAAAAATCATGTTAATTTGTTGGCGCTTCATTTTGACTATAATATAATGATATAGTGATGTGATAAATTTTATTATCATAAATGTCATTTCCGGCCATCTACAGGTACTAATTCTTCAAATTTTTGCACGCACCCCTATCGCCAAACTCTATCCGTCCCAGTTAGTACGTCCCCAAATACTAACCATTAATAAAATTAAAATAAAAAAAAAGGTCGTGTGGGAATCAAACCCATGACCTCCAGGTTATCTAGCCAGATAAAAACCACTACAAATGCTATTAAGATATGAGTTTGCCTCAGGAAATATCGTAAAAGTGATTATTTGCCCTACCTGTCGTGTTCCAGGTTATCTAGCCGTTGTTTTACTAACTCGACTGAACGGAGGGAGGAAGCACCGTGACCCCTAAGCCATAAATGCGATGAACGTTTGTACTACACCTACTACCAGTCAGTCGCCTCCGGCGGAAATGGGAGGGATGGTGGGTGCCAGGGGCCATTGGCCAACCCAGTTTTTCTACTGGGGGCGTGGCCCCCCAGTTTTGTGGATGTTCCCAGCACCATTGACAAACATTATACGAACGCTGCAATGTTATTATTACAAGTTCCTCTTTTGATTTGAGCAACCAAGGTTGATTGACGTCTGTATATCGCGTCTGTAGAGTTTCCTTGAAATCCACCCTCAGGCATGAAGAAAAAATCACCTGCCTTCGTGAATTCTGTATTTAGGCATATGGGGGAGGGGGAGGTAGGCACTCTTAATGGAGCGATGCTCTAGTTCTCTTTATGCTAATCACGATGATGAATAGTAAGTGTAACTGATTGGCTTACAGTAAACCTTCAAAATAGCGGAATATAATCACATTTAAACTCAATCTAATTTAACGAAAACAATAAGATAATTAATTAGGTCATTTTTTAAAATAAAGTTCTCTGAAGGTTAACTACATAATTTACAGTACACTGTAGTTAATTTGTTATAGGTTGTAAAAATTTTACTGCGTAAAAAAATATTTCGAATAGGCGATGTCAGTGTTATATTGAACAGTGGCAGATTCAAGGGGGAACTCAGTCAGCACGGGCCCCCAACCTCATAATTTTTTAAAAAATTATTTTAAAAAATGGAGAAAACAGAAAAAATTGTATTCAACTTTTAATCGGAGTGTCCCATTTCCGGCCATCTGGAGGTACCATAATCATAATGTTTTTTTACCTCAGCCCAAACAGTTTTGGGAATGAGGTGGGTGAACAATCTATTTGTGCAAAATCCTCCCTAGGTTCCCTCTATTTTGACTTTCTGGATCCGCCACAGTTGGAGTATCATTTCCGGGCTACATAGAAGGCTAATTTTTATCCATCGGGGGAAAAGTGAAGTTTTCGTCGGGGAACCTATATCAAGCATAAACCTCATGATAAATAATTCATTAAGATCGTGGCTCGAATCAATCTCGACTTCGACTTTGTTCGGAAATCTGTGGCGCATTCAAGTGCGGGGTGGGGGGGATCGGGGCTAAATTGTTCAATTATTTTTTAAATGGAGATATAAGGAAAATTATATTCAAATGTTAAGTTTCAGAGTGTAATTTCCGGCCATCTAGAAGTGCCATAATCACAAATTTTCTTACCTCTGCCCCAACCATGGTGGGGCTGAGGTAGTAAAATCTTCTATATATGAATGTACCCTCCCTGTGCCCTTCTATTTCGAATTCCTGGATCCGTCACTGGAAATTGCAACAAATATGAAGTCATACTATAGTAGATTATATAAAAATAACTTACAAAACTTTATAAAATATTCATGTCTTCCCTACCCGGGCCCTTGGCGGCCCCCAGGGCGCCCCAGCCTGTATGCTCGCTTCGCTCGCATATTGGACCTTATGACCACTTTCAAAAACATTCCGTCGCCGTTGGTTGTAGTTAAACTAACGCTGTAAAAACCAAAAAAAAGCTTAAGTTTTGAATAAATTCGATGAAGTGGCGTACTTACGTTTTAACACAGTTCGGAGCATCGTGACGATCGCCTTTGAGAACTGGTCTAGGTGGGAACATATGAACTTACATCAACTGATAAAGAATGCTTTCAATTATTTATCGATGAAGGATATGATTAACAATTACATAGTACGTGACCCTACATTTGTTGTCGATTCAGTTATCTGTATCAGTTTTAACAATCATACAAAACGTTAATATAATCTAAAAATGTTAAATGCAATACACGTGTTTCATATTAAATCGTGTTTCAAAGTTATTGTCATTGAAAATTCACTAAAATTACAAATCAATTTACTTACGTATGCATTCTGTACCGTGGTTTTGATTCATATTTTTTTCCCTTCATTACAACCTTTTTCATTTGTCATTATTATATGTTTCATTTTGGTTTAGAAGATTTATTTTAATTTCTTATTATCACTTTTAATAAATTAAGATTGTTCTTCTATATTTTATATGTTTTTAGTTAATTACTGTATCTATAATTGTATGGATGCATCACCGTACCGAATTTTTTTATATCACTTTTAATAAATGAAGATTGCATTGTTCTTCCATATTTTGTATTTTTTTAGTTAATTACTGTGTCTACATATTGTAGGATGCGTCATCGTACCGATTTTTTTAAAAAGTTTAGGTACAGTTTGATCTTGGACATTTTGTTTCTGTTGTACCATAGAGAATGTGACATGGTGTGAACTGACCCCTCCTCACTATCCTTACAGTACGGCAAATTTATTTATAGATTGTGTCATTGTAAAAAAGACTATAGTGATAGTCGAAAGCTGAAAACGTAAGATACTTTATTATATAGAACATTATTTTGTTTTCCATTGCATATCAACTCGGTAGTCGCAAAAGCAAAATATCCATTGTAACAGTCAAAAAGCCTATTATTTATAAAAACATTAATGCACACCTTAAATACATGAAATCATTGGTTTCTTCTAAAAGAACTAAGATCTTCTGATAACGCGTATATATAATTATGATATATAATTATAAGTCACAACCAAGTCACAACCAGACAAAACAGTTCCCCCAATTTTTGTTATTATTAGGCCATGGGGTGAAGCTCAAAAGACGTCTAGAAAACGAATTCCGTTCCGATCTTTTCAATATAAAAAATTTAGGCCTACAATAGTTAAGTAATATATGTCTTGAATCAAATATAGAAAGTTCGACCAAAATATCTTAAATTACCGTTTTATCCTAGGCTACTGGTCGTCGGAAAACACACCGCGATACAGCGCTTAGAAGCACTTCGCGATCATACCATGAGTGTCCACTTACGTCAACTCGCATGAAATCGCGTCATTTTAGGTCAAATCGTGTCAAGTAATGTCGGATTGCGTCAGTACACGTCAATTCGCGTCAACTTACAGCATAATTATTAATGAGAAATTTCAACAAAAAAACTTATATTATTATTGTAATTTCAACAAAAAAACTTATTTTATTATTGTAATTGCAATTCTTTGATATTCTTTTCAAAACAATAATTGTGTAACAATTTAAAGAAAATGTATTAGTATTTTGACTTCTTTTTACTCCTGTGGTCTTCCTTTTGACAATGTGTATGCTTGTTCCCTGTATGTGTACTAAAGTACACACTTCATTCTCACAGTATTTTTACATTCATATTCCTTTTTTAAAATTATTGTATTTATTTTACTTTCAAATTGTAATAAAGGATTAAATGTGGGGAAATTTAAACTTGATGCATTGTTAGGATGTGCATGGATGTATATTTGTTTTGTATACTCCGGTTGACACATGTTGGGACACATTTTATTAAATAGAAATTTACATTTAATACTGTAATATGAAAAATCATATTTATTTCTCAAATATCGTGAGAGCTTTTCCTCCCTTCCTCAGAGCTTGCTTATACAATATATAACTCTATATTTATGTACACGTTATACATCTTAAAGAAAGCTTCTTGCACTCTAGTGAGTCCGTTACTTTTTAAATTTTCTATATAATACTTAATAAATAAATACAGTGAAGCATTTCGCAGTCCTTTGTCATTGTGTGATTATTCTCATGGTTCTAAGTTCTTAAGGGTTACACCGTTACATTATACGATACTTTTTTAAACTTTTGTACATCATACATAATAAATAAAAATAGATAATGCTTTACATACTCCTGTGTCACTGTGTGTTTAGTCTCATGGTCCTAAGTTCTTACATTCTCATGGGTTACACCGTTACATTATACTTTTAAAAAATTTTCTATAATACACATGTACAAAATGAATAAAAATAGATAATGCTTTACGTACTCCTGTGTCATTGTGTGTTTAGTCTCATGGTTCTAAGTTCTTATATTCTCATGGGTTACACCATTGCATTATACTTTTTAAAGATTTTCTATAATATACCTGTACAAAATGAATAAAAATAGATAATGCTTTACGTACTCCTGTGTCACTGTGTGTTAAATCTCATGGTTCCAAAGTCCATGCATTCTCATGGGCTACATCGTTACATTATACTTTTTAAAGTTTCCTTATTATACCTGTACAAAATAAATAAAAATAGATAATGCTTTACGTACTCCTGTGTCACTGTGTGTTAAGTCTCATGGTTCTGAAGTTCTTACATCCTCAAGGGTCACACGATTACCTTTTTTAAATTTTCCATATTATACCGGTACATAATAATGATGAAATAAGAAACACATCAAATCTCAATCAAACAAATCATTTATGTAAATTTTGTCTAGGTATTCATCGTCTACAAATTGAGCATCTTCATTCATGGTGTCTTTATCATCTCTGCTCTGACAGTTTGTACATAGACAAAGATCGGAGCATTTCATGTTCATTTTATTGCACTGACATCTGCCTTGATTGCACCCGGTCTTACAACCGCATTTGATGATCTCCATTAAACTATGCCTACTATATTATTTAAAATATACAATTTTAATTGATAAGATTAATATTTACATGAACATATAATTCATACTTAAACAATATATTAAATTTAAATGTAAATATAATGACATTAACGAATAAAAAACAATATTATTGAACGTGTAGTATCTATCACTACTACAATAACAAGATTAATATTTTTCAATCTTATAATCAATTTTATATAGCCAGAGTTAGTTTCGACCCAGAGGTGACGGAACTAGAGGGTTATGGAGAGTAATGTGTGACCGGAAATGGTCTGCAGTCAGTTGGTTGTTACCATGCGCCAGTGATGTTGGAGTATATAGTACAGCAATATTAAACTATTATGTAGGCC